GAAGAACAGAACAGAACCTTTAGGCTGAAGCTGATATGGACCTTACTATGTAAATCAGGGTCTCTTTGGTATGCTTGGAGTGTTAAACACTTACTGAAAAATGGATGTTTCTGGGAATGCAAGCCTTCCGCCAACCAATCCTGGAACTTCAACAAACTCATCCACTTGCAGGTGTTAGCAAGAGGATTCCATCGGAAGCAGGTGGGCAATGGAAGCGACACATGGTTCTGGTATGATCATTGGTTGTCCCTCGGGCCATTGATAGCGGTATCCGGAGGAAGTGGGCCGAGTCTTGCTCATATTCCTAAATCGGTCAAGGTCATTGATGCGACGTCTGGAAACCATTGGAACCTCCCGCCAGCTCGTGGAACAGGCCTGGAAACTATACAAGCGGCACTCATCACCACCGACCCTCCTCACCCGGAGAAAGGTGAGGACTTGAATCTGTGGAGAGACCATAGAGGGCAGTTCAAAGCTTCCTTCTCCTCCTCTTCCACATGGAAGCAGCTGAGAACTCCAAAACATAAGGTTCTATGGTATGATCTTATTTGGTTTAAGCTGGCTATACCTAGATACTCTGTTGTACAATGACAAGCTATTACACACCGACTTCCAACTAAAGACCGCTTGGGGGGATGGGTACAAAAAAAAAAGCTTACCTATTTATTATCTTTAAAGGGAAAAGTTGGAACTCGAAGAAAAGTTTACTGCGAGCGACAGTTGCCTTTGTGGTAATTACAAGGATTTTTGTTTTTTTTATAAAAGGTTAATGAATTGATCAAATAATTTTTACAAAAGACCCAGCCTTGGCTGTATACAACAGATTACCATCTCCAAAAGAAGACAAAATGTCAATTTTCAAAACAAACAGTTATCCTATTGATTTATGCCATTGTTGTCGGAGGGTTGTGATCGGATACTTTCCGTAAGGAGATACCAATCGGACAGGGGTGATTGGGCAGTAAAAGGTCTCGTGGAAAGAGGTAGTAGAGTGTTTCTAATGCTTCGGTCGACTTCGTGGCGGATGTGGGCTGCCGATCTGCGTTCTCCGTTGAATATCCTTCGGTTTCGCTCCTTCCACAGGTAATAGGTAGATGCTTGCACAATCAATTTTGCCAAGAATGCTCTGTGATTCACTATGTCGTTGGTTGTATTGCTCAACCATGTAGGAACTTGGACTGCAATTGATGGTGGCGAAAGTATACATAAGCTTGCCATTGGACTCCAAACCTGCGAACTAAAACAACAAGAGAAGAAGATGTGGCCATGTGTTTCTTGCTCCGTTGAACACAAGACGCAGGTCTGATCTACTTGCAATCCCCAGCGGCTAAAGCGATCATTTGTTGGTAACCTGTAGGATTTTTGTTTTCATAATTACTTGGGGATATTTATCGGGTTTTTTCATTCAATTTCAATAATTGTTTTTGGTAAACCATTCAATTTCAATAGTTTTTTCTTCATAATCGTTAAGTTTGGATATACAAATGAAACTAATGAATCTTACAAAATCTTTAAGTTTTGATATACAAATGAAACTAATGAATCTTACAATATATATATATATATATATATATATATATATATATATAATATGTTTTCCTCTTCTTCTTTTTATTTTTTTTGGAGTTTTCAATATTTTACTTTTTGGGTTTGTTGCTTTGGGAACCGAATGGGCAATTTTTCTAAAATGCACTACGTGCGTCGGATCAATTACACAGATACACTGCAAAATAAGGACGAAATTTTTTAACAAATTGTACACTAGTATTTTGGGTAAATTACTTAAATCTCCTTACTTTCAAAATGTCAAAAATACCCTTAATGTTAAACTAAAAAAATATGGGTCTTTTTTATTTGAAAGAATACTTTTACGGGCAGGAGGCACCTACTTTTCGTAGGTATTTTGTCCACGTGGCTTTTCATATTAATTTAGATTTTGACATTTTTTATGCACGTTTGTTTCTCGAATAAAATTTGCGAATTCATTATGACTTAACTACGACTTATTTACGATTTCGTATATCAACTAAAATTTCCGATTAAAATTTGTATTTTGTCCGTAAGGAATCCACAAATAAAAAATATAAACAAATTATGCGAAGAGAATTAGTTTTAGGTCATAAATCACAAATTAATTAAAATTTTGTAAATTTGTTGATATGTAACACTAAATGTATATTAAACAACTATTTATATATTCAAGTAAAATACATGAAATGAATCAATATTCTAAATTTGTTGAAATTTATTAAAAATATTAATTCAAATCGATTAATATCACTTTATTGGATGAATTCCATCATCATTTGACAAAATCAAATCGAAATTCGCGATCTTTTTAACAAATTTACAAAAATTCTATGGTGGCAAATAAGTCGTAATCTAATCATAAAAAAGTGGTTGTGGCCGATTCCCAAGACAAAATTAAAGAATCTTTATGGTTGGACCCACTTTTCGTAGGTATTTTGTCCACATGACTTTTCATATTATTTTAGATTTTGACTTTTTTATACACGTTTGCTTCTCGAATAAATCATGCGAATTTATTACGACTTAACTACGACTTATTTGTGACTTCGTATATCAACTACAATTTTCGATTAAAATTTGTATTTTGTCTATAAGGAATTCACATATGAAAAATATAAACAAATTATGCGAAGATAATTAGTTTTAATTCATAAATCACAAATTAATTAAAATTTTGTACATTTGTTGATATATCACTAATGTATATTAACTAACTATTCATATATTCAACTAAAATACGTGAATCAAAATTTTAAATTTGTTGAAATTTATTAAAAATATTAATTCAAATCGATTAATATCACTTTATTGGATGAATTCCATCATCATTTGACAAAATCAAATCGAAATTCGCGATTTTTTTAACAAATTTACAAAAATTCTATGGTGGCAAATAAGTCGTAATCTAATCGTAAAAAAGTGATTGTGACCAATTCCCAAGACAAAATCAAAGAATTCTCATAGTTGGACCCACATGTCAGATGATTACTTTGACTTTTCTTTCATCAATTACAACTTACTTTTTAATATTATGACTTATTTTTTAATATTGCGATTTACGTTTTAATATTAAAATTTATTTTTTAATATTCCGTCTTACTTTTCATTTTTTTTAAAAATAACAACTATTCTATTAAATAAACTTTTGTTAATTCATTCTGTTTTTATGGTGTACCACTGAAATGAATGCGACACGAGTAGTATATTTCAGAAAAAAGGCCAACCGAATGCCAAAACCGGCAAATACCGACTCTGTTAATTAGTCTAAAGAAAATATATTTTTTTATTAGAAAAGGAAGAGAGTACAAGCACCCAAAAAGATGAATAGTGAAGATATCAAACAATGTCACATACATGATGAGTTTTGACTTTCTTCGTTGGGCCTTTTCACGTCGACCCAAACACATTGTCTGCACTTGGGCCTTTAATCAACGATTTTTCAGCCCTTGTCAGATGTGTAAATTATGTGGAAAAAAAAAGATTTTTTTTCCCGAGTAATATATCTATTTATTTCATTTTAAAAAAAGGCCCATCCATAAAAGTTAAAAGAGTTACATGTGTGGATGAGGTTTGGGTGGACCCCATCTTTCACATTTAGCTCTTTATTCGAATAATCATTTCTCCTAATACTTTTTAATATGACCCAAATGATCTCATCAAGTTGGTCCATCATTATTGCTATCTCCATATCTTCGTAAAGTACTCACTACTATTCATATACGACTCAAAACAATGACTGATAAATCTTCCTCGGGCTACAAAACTATGTATCGATCATCAATTTTTGTAACTCCAAAAATTCACTAATCATTTAGTTGCCAAGAATGTCTATTGTTGTATTTTTATTTTTTTCAGTTTGTGCATTTAAATTAAGTTTCATGCGATTGTTCTATAATATTAATATAAGTGATATAATTATTTTATGTGTGTAGTGCTTTAACTAAAACATGAACGACGGTCGAAGTGTTTCGGATGCCCAACTTGCTTGTACCACTTGCCAGTTTCGAACTTCTTACTATACATTCATTGCTTCTAAGGTACATGTCCACTCTTGGAGAGCACCGTGAAAACAACATCCATCGATTACTATAAAACAAAACCATGAATAATAAAGTCCAATCTAAGAAAATATTTTTACACGTACCATAAGATAATTCAGTATATTTGGTTTTTATCGCCGAATTAACATCCAAATACGACGATGATATTTTCCAATATCAAAGCCATTGATTTCGTCTGATTTTTTCCACTCACACATATGCCGTCGAAGAAAATAATAGGAAATTAAATGAGAAACTAATCGAACGAGTCAATGGAAGTGGGAAAAAAAAAACCAAACAAAGTGACGTCATCGAATAAAATACCGAAAAAAACAAGAAGCGAGTGGTGAGCCGTACCCCACACCACTTGGGGCGTTACGTGGCAGGTGAATTGACGGGTCCAGTTGGTGCGTGTCATGCACGCGCACTGGAAACGCGTGTGGTAAGGAGGCCTTTCCCCATTCAATCATATACAGCTCTCTACTACTCGTCCTCGGTGGCGATTCGTGTTGATGCTGAAAAGCTCCGCAGCCAAAATCCTTAGCTACCCGTTAGCCAATTCTAACATGTTCTCTTCTTCTTCTTATCCTTTTCTTGCTGTCTGATTCGCGCAAGTTCGTCTCTTGTGCTTTATGATATGCGGATTTCATCTGGCGTTTTATCTGTTCTGGTTGCTTAGTCCTTCGAAATGATCTGAACCCTTTTCTTCTCTCCCACTTTCGTCGTCTCTCCTGGAAACTTTCAGATTTTCCCGGAAAAAAGTCTGGGAAAAGTTTCGGCCTTTGCTTCTTCCGTCACATTTTGGAGATTTTCGGCGAGAGATTTCACAGGAGTTTATCAGATTTGATTTGCGCCGGCCGGAGAACAAGAAGAACAGTTTCTCGTCTGCCTCCTCTGGTTCGTTTCTCGTGTATGGTAACAATGTATCTGTTACAGATTTGCTTTCCAGACGTTGAGTTCCCTAATCTCTGCTTTTGCCATTCTGGATGATTCATAATTCTCGGTCTTTTTCGTTTTTTCTCTCTCGTTATAATGAATTGTTCGTACTCCTTGGGATTTTGTTTTTCGTGTGTTTTTTTCCCGTGTTTCTGTCTGATAACGGTATTGTCTTTCAGACATAACTTGCTCTTCTTTGAAAGTTTTATGTTTCAGCTCCTCGGGTTGCCTTTCTTGCAATGGAAAGAAAAGATTAGAAACTTTCAATCGACATCCGATAATTGCTCGTTTCCTAATAATGGAATGGAATCTAGTGAATCCGATTCTCGGATTCTGAAATCTCAGTTGATTTTGGTCGTGTCATCGAAGAGAAGAGTGATGCTCTGTCTAAAACCAGTTTGTCTGCAAACCTAGTCATGCTCTCATCTATATGACATGAATAAGCAATCAGATCAAATGCAAAGTAGGGGCCGTCATTACACGTCTCCCGCCATTGTTGTTATCAGATGTCTTGAAGCTCTGAGTGTAATGGCTCTTGGAAAAAAACTTCCTCCGTCTTTTCATTGTCGTGTTAATGATCTTGAAAGTGTTTCTCTTTGTCAGCAGGTCTTCTATTCGGAGAAGTTGAGACCATGCAGAGACTTTCGAATCTTCAAGGCACCATGTCGTCGATATTTTAGCAAAATGTAACGCTGGCTGTTCTGCAAAACATGGCGAGCATCGAGACAAGAACATCATAGTTGAATCCAATAGACATTTGGAACTGTTGGTCATAACAGTATGAACAGCCATAGCCTTGTTTCAGGAACAGCAGATGAAGGAGGAGTTGGGCAAGATTGCTCGTCTTCCATATCTCTGGTGCATAACTTTCTCAACTTTCCGCCAGAAACCCGGAAAGCTCCTTCTCCTTTCATAAGATCACAATCTCCGGATTCCGCAAGTCATGATCATCATCCATGGATGAAGCACGGTTCCAAGAGTACATTCTCGAGATCTTCCTCGTTCTGCACAAACTTGTACTTATCATCGTCTTCGAGCTCCGAAACTCGGAAACATCTCGGGAACAGTCTTCTTCCGTTTCTCCCAAACCCTTCAACTTACAACCAGACTGCTTCAGCTGTTGAATCTGCTAAATCTCCAGCCATTTTCAGCGAGGATATCGTCACTGTCACTCCTCCTTATAATGGCGGTGGCAGCAGCAGCTCAGGGTCTCTTGCCAAAGACTTCTTTAATCTCCCCAAAGACACTTGTTCTGACGGCGGGTTTCATGATCTCGGCTGTCCAAATGACAGCTTCTCGTTGTCAGAACAAATGGAGCTGCAGTTCCTGTCTGATGAGCTCGAGTTGGCCATCACAGACCGTGCTGAAACTCCTAGCCTCGATGTAAATTTAGATTCAGTCTGTTCGTTCCTTACTACTTCATATCCTGCATTTTGCATGACAAGCTTTTTGTCAGATTAACTGACATATGCATTGGGTCAATGACCAATGTTTATGCAGGAAATCTACGAAATGCCTATGGCTATGTCAAATCCAGGGACTGAAGTGAGTCCCAGACAAAACTGTGTCTCTGCTGTAATGTCTCACTCTTCCCCAGGAGCTGCCACTAATCAGAAGCCGAGAATGAGATGGACCCCTGAGCTCCATGAGCGTTTTGTGCAAGCGGTTCACAGCCTCGAAGGGCCTGAAAGTGAGTTAGTCTTATGAGACATCACTAACTATTTAACCACACTTGGGACGAATGGCACGAGAATATCGGTCATGGAGCAAAGATCAAACCGATATAAATGATATCTGGGTTGCTGTCCATATATGTTTTTTGTTACTGTTGTATAAACTGGTTTTTTATATTGGAAATATGTAGAGGCAACTCCGAAGGCTGTTCTGAAGCTCATGAATGTCGAGGGCTTGACCATCTATCACGTGAAAAGTCACTTGCAGGTGCCATATAACGTTTGAAGCTAAAGAACTTTCGTGTAGTTATTACCGAATTAGATGATTTTCTCCGAGGCATCTGAGTATTTGTTCATTGCATTTTTACAGAAGTACAGACTAGCAAAGTATATACCGGAGAAAAGAGAAGGTAAATTACCAAAGTTTTTTTTTTCCTTGTGAAAGTGCACTCCTTCATGATCATAGGTCGTGGTTTTCATATATACATTGTTTTTGTTTCTCGATTGTTCTGCAGAGAAGAAGAATAGTAATTCAGAAGAGAAGAAATCTGCTTCAAGTAACAGCGAAACAGATGGGAGAAAGAAAGGGTGAGCAGTTTCTTTCCTCGCTCCAGTTTGTGTTTCCCGGGATCTGATACGAGGCCCTTCTGCTACTCCCGTTTATATATGCTTCCAATTCCTCTCGTTTCTTCATCATATTCATTCTATTTATTTTCTGATCTCCTTGTTTTTGAATCTCCTAAGATCCTTCGACGTTATGCCCTCACATTTACAGGGCCATTCAGATTACTGAGGCTTTACGTATGCAGATGGAAGTTCAGAAGCAGTTGCATGAACAACTCGAGGTAACACCATTACCATACTTTAAGGTTTTAAAAAAAAAGAAAGAAAGAAAGATGTTGATATTACGAACCCTTGAAACACTGTTATAGCTGATGATTTTTTCTTGGCATATGAGAAGGTACAGCGGGTGCTTCAGCTGCGCATAGAAGAACATGCAAGGTACTTGCAGAGGATGTTGGAAGAACAGCAGAAATCCGGCGCTCTCATTACATCTTCTGAGACACTGTCTTCCCCAACCAAATCCAAACAAGAATCTTCACCTCAACTGTCATCACCCACCAAGAACAAAGCTGAAGAAGAGAACTCCCCGAAAAGGCACCGGATCGATAACAAAGCTTCAGAATCTGGAGAAGAAAACTCCCCGAAAAGGCCCCGGCTCGATAACAAAGCTTCTGAATCTGAAGAACGTGTAAGGTAGTTAAATGACTTTGTGTGCAATATGTATATATGATGATGATGAATTTGTGTTGCGTGTACTTGAAGTAGGAAACTTTGTTTGTGAGATCGAGTTAGTTGTTTGTTATATATGTCTTTTGTTGGGGGACATGTAAGTGATCAGTGTAAGCTTTGGGATTCCAATTGGTTGGGGTCTCTTGTTCTTTGAAGTTTCTATTAATAAAAATATAGCAAGATTGAAATTAGTGTGTGTGTGTGTGTGTGTGTACAAAAAAAAAATGAGGTCGAGGATGACAAAAATATCAAAGAAATTCAGTGGTTCTAAACATCTATGGACCGACAGTACTACGTTTGGTTATGGTACGTACAAATTGTCATATGATTCATGCGTCTTTTCATAATATTTGTAAAAAAGGACATGTAGAATGTTTTTATATATATATATATATATAAATATCTTACGGAGGAGAGTGCATGAATGGAGGAAGAGAGTGATCGTTCACGTCCGAAAGAGAGACTCGTCTTTGTTTGATGTAAACGGAAATGTGAAAAATATGGAAATAGTGGTCCTTCTGACGCTGCTGGAGAGCGCGTTAGAGAGAATAGTCGTGCGTTATGAGAACAAGAACATGTATGGATGGATGGATGGATTTCGTGTTGTAACATCCATTTCTATTTTCTATTGACTGGGGGTCTTAATTCCGTGCCAATTGCAACCACTGTGATATATATAAAATCAGTCACACATATATAGGGAGAGAGAGAAATCACACGTACGTTTTGGACTGCTCTTGATTAGAGTTTACAAATATATCTGAAAATATTATAATGTTACGTGTCATCCACTCTTTTCTATGGTATCAAATCATGTTCGACTAAACGCATGCGTATCTCTAAACCCGATTTTTAGTCACTTTGATTTGGAAACTCCAAATATTCGAAATGATCCAAAGTTTGGATATCCGAATAATATGAATATGGCGGTGGACAAGTTCATCTTCTAAAACACACCTAGGATTAACGATTAATCGCTTTGCTTTGGCCACCGCGTAGCTGAAAGTTTCCGAATATTCAAAGTCCGGATATCTGAATAATATGAACGGTGGATATATCCGACCTCGACCTCGACCTCGACCTCATCCCCTTAGGTTTCTCCGGTTACAGTTTCGGTCTCCATCTCGTTGAGAGTAGGATGCCCGAGGGGCTTGGGGCACCTCTATTTTAGTTACTTGTGCAATAGAAAGGAGTTATATAATTACATAAAATGTGCTTAAAAAGCTAGCTGTGTTTTCATGTGTATGGCATATATATATATATATATGTATAATTACTATATATTTTATATTAATTTTGATGTGTGTGTGCATATAATTACGATATATGTATATACTATTATAATTACGATACTACCCCTAATTCCGCAGTATAAAAAGGTGCATTTGCGTTCACCAAAGAACTCAAATTAAGTCTCTCTTGCAAAAGGTGAGGAAGAGGAAATAATATGGCGGGAGAAGGAGGGTTCGAGGTAAAGGTGACGAAGGAGGAGATAGTAAAGGCGGCTGTGAGGACGGGAGAGTGCATGCTGCCACTGTCCAACCTCGATCTGCTGCTTCCACCGTTGGATTTCTGCGTATTCTTCTGCTACGACCTTGGCAGCAACAATGGAGAAAGAAGGAGCTTCGGCTCTATGGTTGCAACGCTCAAGGAAGCATTGGAGGAGACACTCGTCCATTACCACGCCTTCTCCGGCGAGCTCACCTCCGACTCTCTCGGACAGCTTCAGCTCCTTTGCAACGACCATGGCGTCCACTTCTCCCAGGCTTACGCCTCCGTTGACCTTCGCCACCTCAACCTCCACATGTACGTACGTTATATATATATATATATATATATATAT